AGACATGGCTCCACAAGGAAAATGGAAACAATTGAAAGAGCCAGACCAGAATAACAAAGCCGCACCCAAGACCGACTTGTCCATGGGGAATCTGCATTTGGTGAGTTGTATAAATTCAAACAAGCCTGCATCTCTCCAAATTTGACCAAAAGCAGGTTCCAGACAGTTTATCCAGTCAGTCCATTCTAATTTTCTCCAAACTGGCCAAGCACCAAAAGAGCCAATCCATTTATTCCAGTCAGGTTTTAAATGGAAGGGGAGAAAATGTTCTTTGGGCTGTGGGTAAATGGAGGCAAGAGAAGCTGGCGGCTGAGACACAAAATAAGGGCCCAAAATCTGAGATTTTTTGTGCGGAACAGAAGTTTGGTTTGAATGGCATGGCTTCTGTTTTTGGAGTATCCTGTTTATATCATCTTGAAGATTTTGGTCTTGGAAGAGTTTAATCAAATCTGGTGGAGGTGACCTCAAGCAAGGAGTGGCCTTTGAACCGGCCATGGAAGCAGATCCGGTGGGCATGGTTTGCTCTTCTCGGTCACTGGCCATGGAAATAATTTTGGCAAGGAAAGGCTGCTCGGTACTGGTCCACCGAATACAAGCCAGGCGGATTTGCACATAAAAAAAAAAAAACAAACAAACAAGAAGGAGTTAGTCGGCAGTCACTTGGACAAGGAATTTGTCCGGTAGGGTCCACGGGGAGCTTAAGCAAAGCAAATCTTTGCAAATAAAGTGAAAGAGTGCAACCGGCAAGTACCTGTGGGGCAAGAAGAGTTGCCGGGGGGACCACTGAATGGAGCAGATCTGGACAAGCAAAAGCAGAGAGTGCAGTCGGCAGTAGATCTTGAAAGTTGAAGGAAATGGGTTGCTGTTTTGGGTAGATCTAGGGAAGCATATAAAAAAATGAAACAGAGGGACCGGCTGTGACTGGGAGAAGCTTAGATGTTGCAAGTTGGGTAGAAATTTGGAAGCTATTTGGTGAACAAACAAGCAAAGGAAGAGTGTAGCCGGCGGCAAAGCAAAGTAAATGGAAGGGGAAAGTCGGTGATGGTGGCCCGTGGCGGTTGAAGAAGGTAAAGTAAAATTAATGGTAATTTTCAAGGAGTCCCTACTTTTGGGATTTGTTTTGAAAATTAATAGATTTTACTTAAAGTGGAGTAGACTTTTCAATGGGGCCATTGACGGTGGGATAATAAAAAACAAAGAAAAGGATGGAAAAGAGTGCAACCGGCCATGATTCAAAAGGAAAAGAAAAGTAAGTTTGACTTTTCTTTATTTTTGGGTTTTGAGAATTAATTGAATTTGGAAAAGGAGTGGCTGAGGTTTATCTAGAAAATAGCTCCAGGAGATATTTGTGAAGTTGTTTTTAAAGAGAATTCGACATGTGGCATAAGTAATTATGGTGTGGGAGGTAATTTATTTAATTAAAACACTTGGATTTATCTTAATAAAACTAAGTGTTGGGGGCATTGTTTACACCATAAATTGTAGAATTTTAAGTTAATGCCATGTGTAAAATTTTTATTGGCTGGAGGAGTTTGGAGCCATGTCAGATTCGGATCTTGAGTCCCATGACAGATCAGCACATGAGTTGGTAAGATAGGAGAGGTAAAGATAATGTTTTATAGAGTAATTATCTTTTGAAACAGAAAAAGATAATGGCAATTGGCAAGATAGGGGAGGATCACATTTAAAAAGGAGATTTTATCTGATAAAGTCCAAGTGGCAAAATCTAAAAGGGGTTTAGACTAGGTCAAGAG